TACCCTATAAATTGGAGCATACTGACAGTATATTTTAAATTCTAACCAATCAAAACGGCATGATACGAGAGGTTTTATCTCTAGTCATAAAATAAATAATATAATAAATGGCAGAATAGGGGTGTATTTAATTTGTATATATTATTTATGTTTAACCGATGAGACTTATATAAAATGTACTTACTTACTATAATACTCACTAGTTTTGTTTGTGTGTTCAAATATAAAAACCAAACTGTACGTAGAAGCGTGATTAAAAATTACGTGACATTTGAATATTCATAACCTCAGTTCCTACTACGATTTCATATAAAAAGCCCTCTAGAAATACGTTATAGTGTTGAAGAGTTGATGGGATAATCAATGATAAGTGGGATTGATAAATATAAATGTAATTATCACAGAATAATGCTTTCTCTGTTTTTCAGCTATTCCAACTGGTACAATAGATCCACTATGTAATTTACTTGGTTTATAGAGTGGAATTTACCAGTTACCATGTTATCAAACCAAAAGGGAAAAGAAATGATTGACATACTAGCTATCAGTCGTGAAGTATAAAAATATAAATATATAAAAATATATCCAGGTCGTTTCCAAGGATATGTTATATACGCCAAGTAAACGTGCAAAGCCATGTAACCAAGCCATGATGTAACCAAGCCATGGTTTCAAGCCATGTAACCATGCCATGATGTCTAGTCATGTAACCAGGTCATCTTATCATTATCAAGCCTTGTCAAGCCTGGCCGCGTTATCAAGCCATAGTACCAGGCCACGTTGACAAGCAGGAGATTGTGAACGTTACATTGTGCATCCGAATGAATTCTGAAAATGATGCATTTTCCGTACCCAGTCTCTTTTGGTAAACACGTGAAAAAAACATAGTTCTAGACTGTTTTAAACTAGAAATTACATGGAATAGATTATTATTATAAACAATAATCAAAAGACAATCATTCAGCATGATTTATATTCTTTGATATTATGAAACGACCCTCGATATTTCACCATTAAAGCAGCTATAGTGTTGGCGTAGTTATCATTCCATATCTTTTTTTTGCAAATTTGAAAACGTATGAGAGTTGTGCACTGTTTATTCTGTGAATGAATCTCACGCCAAAGCTTTAACAATTCTTTTTCAAATTCAATTGTTAAGCTAACGTAAGTCTATTTCTATAAAAATTTGATGAATACACAAATTTGGCATAGGAGTTATTGTGTCTGTTTTAATAAATAGGAATTAACATTAAGAATTCAGTTACAAGCATACTAAGACAAAGTAACATTTTTTAAGGACGAAAAGATAAGGAAGCAATTTAAATGAATTATTAATGCAATTACCGAACAAATAGTGATTAGATAAATAGTTCGTTAGCGTCGTCCTACGTGGTTGATAGATATTGTCTAGTATAATACAGGTATTTTTCCAAGATAATCCACAAACAATGGAGTGATTAAACACAGATTAATTGAAGGAATTGCTGGCAAGATCTTATTTCAAATGATAAATATATTGACTATAAAACACATTTCTTTAACATAATTCTTATCAAATAAATTACATAAACAATTTTAAATATATTTACAAAGCATAATTTCCTTAAATTACAGACAATTTTTCTGCATGAATTCGAAGAAGCATTCTTTGACACCCAGACTTCTAATGTCCTCGACGTAGAGCTGTGCGTTAACAAAGTGGCATTGGCTAGTAGAGGTTATACGCAAAGTTGAAACTGGTAAAGCAAATATTTAGATGACCAAATCCCTTTTGAAATTTACCATCATTTTTATTCCGCTCAAGATTGATTAAAAATTAAATAAAATTGTATTGTGTTTTGAAATTCTATACAAATTTCTAATTCTAATTAACCATCATAGTCGTAGCCAGCGGCAGTTGAGTTAAAAGTGTTTGCAGTCTTGTGGCGTAAAAATTAGAAAGCATCCACGGATGAAACACCGAGCATCATTGGTTTCAGACGCTTTTATTGAAATAAATGTTAAAGATTCATTTGCTTTGACAACCTTCTNTGATACAGTTACTTAAACTCAAACTGGTGAGATTGTCAATTTAAAAGTTTGGAGTAGAAAGGATTTGAGCAGTTGGTCTGCTTAATTTGGCTTCCTTGAAAGGATCTTGCCTTCAGATGGTCATGATTCAGTAAGGCCGTCAGGACAACTGAAAGTATAGTATAGTATTGCCAGCATACGGTCTTCAGCAAGATTTGGACTTCTTTATATTACATACACTGATGTCAGGACTTCAAATTTGTAATTTTGTAATGGAGAGGATTTGACTCTTTGAGCTTCTTTTAGAAGAAGTGGTTCTTTTAGTACATCCTTTATATGATCTGCCTTAGTTAGAGCAAGTTAAAAGATCTACAAGTAACTGGCTGTTACAATTAGCTGGACAGATACTTTTCACAAGTAAAATAATATTCAATGGACATGTGAAGAGTCCATGGTGATAAATTGTGGATTTTTACGTCTTGTGGCTGGTAACCTCCATCAATTCTTATTGAATTTTAAAATTGGATTAATCACTGATTAAAACTAAATCGAATTAATATTAAACGAAGAAAATATTTATTCTTTAAAAATGTGTTTTGAGATGATGTTTGTACTCTATATTAGTAATATGACGTTACCTCCTGTATCTCAATCTACCACAACTCAAACTCGACTAGAATGTAATCATTTAGCATTTAGTCAAGGGAATAAATCTTATTTTTATAACAATGTTAATAAAACCTGTATAATTTATCCTACTATAATATATAGGAAAGATTCATTGGTTTCACACCCTGGATTTGAATATTTTGTTGAAGACGGTAAGTTTTGAGTAGCTTTTAATTATTTGGATTCGATGATATTTTGTCGTCCTCTATGATCTGGGGAAATGCTTTTTTAATCGTGTTCTGTTGAATTCTGACCCAATTGTGTTATTCATCAATTTTTCCTTTATACACATCAATGCAAAACAATGAATATCACAATGAATATACACAATCTGATCTCCAGATCATGGATGGTAAGCAGGGTATCCGATAGAGGAAATTTGCAACTTTTTAAAATGTTAGTTCTTATCAGGTTTACGCTACGGATTTTAAAATATTGTGTCCGCTAAAGCACACCATACAACACAAGAGGCGTCACGCTGTGAATAAAAAAGTCTTCTATTGTACTATTCCACTAACGTGTTTGTAATTGGAATTGATT